GAAACTTTTGTTTTTCTTTTTGGGCCACCCTGCCTTGGTGGGATGTGGCCAGTGCATTGAAATATGGTGATGATTTAGCATAAGCATAACAGTTGTACTTGTGATTGTTGTTATGAATTACTCAATGACTCTAATTATATACTAGATCTAAATTTAAGTAATGTGTAAGCCTTATGATTAATTTGCTTGAAATGCATTGTTTAGTTATTGGCTTCCCTCTCAGCCTTCAGTTGTATCAAATTATATCTGTTTTATAATAAAATAAAAGTAAAAAAATATAATAAATTAGAATGTAGAACTACCATAACTTTTGTGTATAGCTTACAAGAAATAAATAAATAAAATAAATAATTTTTAGTTAATGTGAGCATATTGGGTAATTTTAACCCTTTCAGTTTCAGTCCCGTAATATTACGGCTTGAGAGCCAGTGTCAGTCCTATAATAATACGCCAGAATTCTAGCTCCTTCAAATCTGGTGGATGAAAGCTGGTAGGCCTACATATGAAAGAATGGGTCTCCATGGTCAGTGTGCACAGTATAAAAAAAATCCTGCAGCATGCAGTGCAAAATGAGAAAAAAACTCCGTCCGTGTTTTTGGTTTAAAGCAGTGACTTTGCGGTGTATTGTCGTATGGTATTTATGGTTGTATTCTCATTTGATAGAATGGAAGATATATTACAGAAATGAAGATGATTTTGATTTGTTTCATGATGAAAAGTACCTTGAAATTGAGCTCAAAATAGTGGAAATGTTCGATTTTTGCCGATGTTCAAGAGTAAACAAATGACATCGCTGTCCAATACATATCCAACTGGCCAATCTAATACGCAGTCAAGAAGGAGTTGACATTATTTATACAGTTATTATAATAATGCAGTAGTCTGCATAACAGTAAATCTTTTATTTTTTGTGAGAATAAAAATTCAAAATGGAAAGCAAGAGTAATATAAGAGGGGTCTGGAGACATAACAAATGAACAGAGAAAATGTTATTATAGTGCCAGGAATGTCTGCCTTGTTTATTCTGGACCCTATTTTGAAATTGGCATCTTTTGAAATTTTTGTGAAAATGGCCATATTGCCAATTTCTGACCACTTTATTGGGTAGTTGAAGTCAGTAAATGGGTGGTTTCTTGTACTCAATCAATAGAACAAATGGAGTTCTAGCAAAATAGCTATGATTTTAGTTGACTGGAACAATGGAATTGGCTGAAAATGGGGCTCAAAATGGGTGAAATTGCTAATGTGTAAATATCGTCAAGATCGCTAGCTTTGCGAGAGCATAATTTCGTAAGTTTTCCATCAAATTTCATACTTTTGGTGTCATTGCCATCAGGAAAAGATTCTCATATCATTTCACAAGAAAAAATCATTTTTCTTTTTTTTTGAAAATTTTTCAACACAAAGGGTGAGATAAGGATCAGGGGTTTCGACACTGACAGGGTTAAAAGTAGGTTAGACAGGTACCTGAATGAGAATTGTTCAGTGGTAACCTGCCTAGGCCAGTAGACCTACTCGAGTGCTCCTTTATTCTTAAAACATAGGAGCACTGTAGTGGAAATACTGGCCCATTCTAGACAGGTCCTTAAATCTCACACCCAACATTTTCTGCGCATATATCTGGGTACCTCTGCAAAAACAGTGATTATGTGTGAATGATGAAAGTGTTGAATGGTGGTAAAAGTGATTTTTTTTTTTTTTGGGTCACCCTGTTAGTCTCAGTGACTGCAAACTTCACTCTCCTATGACTGTCACTGGGCAGGTGATTCGCTTGTCACCCATCCCATCCATGATTCCTAGCATCTCCTCTGACCTCCTGTCCCTTTGCCCTGTCTCCTGTCTGACCTGGTGGCCTCCTTTCCAGCCTCCAGGCCACCTCTGCCTCACCCCACCCCACCAAATTCTGATCAATTCTTGCAACTCACCTAGATACCAGATTATAACAAAAAATTCTCACAACCCGTTTCAAGGTCGAGATTCCCTCTCCTAAACTTGTTCTCAGGGTTGAAAATTTTTTTGAAAAAAATAATTATTTTTTCTCATGAAAAGATAGGGATTTTTTTTCCGATCATAATGACACCAAAAGTATGAAATTTGATGGAAAACTTATGGAATTATGCTCTCATGAAGTTAGCGGTCTCGACGATGTTTACGCATCGGTGATTTCACCCACTTTGAGCCCTATTTTCAGCCAATTCCAGTGTACTAGTCGACAAAAATCGTAACTATTCCGCTAGAACTCCATTTTTTCTATCGAATAAGTACAAGAAAAAACCCATTTACCGATTTCAACTATCTAATAAAGTAGTCAGAAATTAGCAATTTTGCCAATTTCACACAAATTTCAAAAGATGCCAATTTCCAAATAGGGTCCAGAATAAACAAAGACATTCCTGGCACTAAAACAAATTTTTTTCTGTTCATTAGTCATGTCCCCAGGCCTTTCTTATATTTCTTTTGCTTTCCACTTTGAATTTTTATTCTCACAAAAAATAGAAAATTTATTGTTATGCAGACTACTGCATTAGTGTAGAAATGGTATAAAAAATATCAGTGTACTTGTGAATGAATATTAGACTCACCAGTTGACATGTATTTTGTTTACTTTTGAACTTCGGCCAAAATTGAACATTTCTGCTACTTTGAGCTCAATTTCAAGGTATTTTTCATTGTGAAACCAATCAAAATCATCTCAATTTCTGTAATATGTCTTCCATTCTATAAAATGAGACCAGGAAAACTAGAATACAACCATAAATACCATACGAAAATGCAGTGCAAAGTCGCCGTTTTAAAGCAGAAAACACGGTCGGAGTTTTTTTTCTCATTATGCACTGTGTGCTGCAGGATTTTTTTTATACTGTGCACACTGACCACATAGGCCCATTCTTTCATATGTAGGACTACCAGCTTTCTCTCGGTTTGAAGGCGCTAGAATTTATGCTTACAAGTACGGCACCAACCCTGGCATGCAAGCCGTACTAGTACAACACCAACCCTGAAAGGGTTAATGTAAAAAAAATATTTTTTGTTAATACTTTTGGGTGTCTGGAATGGATTGATTGGATTTACATTATTTCTTATGGGGAAAATGGTTTCGCCATTCGTAAATTTCAACTTTTGTCACACTCTCTGGAACGGATTAAATACAAAATTCGAGGGTCCACTGTATCTCACAATAAATTCCTCCTCCCTGCATACAAAATGAACATTCATATTATTGGGCCTTCTATATACAGTAGGACCCCATATCCACAGATTCGGTATCTGTGGCTTCGCTTATCCACAGTTTACTGTGGCCCAGAAATAACCCTTAATTTTTCTTAGAAATGTCCCCAGAGTGCAAAAGCAGTAATGCTGACAGGTCTTTAAAGCCTAAGAGATGCCACAAAATGCTTCCCATCACTGAAAAAGTGCTAATTCTAGACTTATTTTGTTTAATTTATCAATTAAACTTTAGGTAATTGAGAGAGTTTCCTCTGATCCCATAATGAGCTAACTTTTGGTGCAATAGGTCATGGTCAACTGTATAAAAAGCTTTACTTAAGTAAATGAAAATTCCCAGGGGGAGTTCTTTTTTTCCAAGTGCCATATATATTAGTTCTAGCATATGTATAATTGCATCATTTATACTTTTTTTCAGTCTGAATCCAAACTGAATGGGATTGAATATGTTGTGGGAAACTAAGTAGGAGTAGACTTTTTTTTTTTTTTCAACAAACCGGTCGTATCCCACTGAGGCAGGGTGGCCCAAAAAGAAAAACAAAAGTTTCTCTTTTCAAATTTAGTAATTTATACAGGAGAAGGGGTTACTAGCCCCTTGCTCCCGGCATTTTAGTCGCCTCTTACAACACGCATGGCTTACGGAGGAAGAATTCTGTTCCGCTTCCCCATGGAGATAAGAGGAAATAAACAAGAACAAGAACTAGAAAGAAAATAGCAGAAAACCCAGAGGGGTGTGTATATATATGCTTGTACATGTATGTGTAGTGTGACCTAAGTGTAAGTAGAAGTAGCAAGACGTACCTGAAATCTTGCATGTTTATGAGACAGAAAAAAGAACACCAGCAATCCTACCATCATGTAAAACACTTACAGGCTTTTGTTTTACACTCACTTGACAGGACAGCAGTACCTCCCTGGGCGGTTGCTGTCTACCAACCTACTACCTAGGTAGGAGTAGACTTGTTTGTGAATTAATTTTTCAAAGATTTTAGATAAAAGGGGCAAGTTCGATATAGGCCTATAGTTGTTCAAATCAGTTGGATCACCTCCTTTGAGGAATGGGGTAAACCTTGCTGTCTGAGAATAGATGGGAAGGTGGAAGATTCAATGGATTTGTTAAAGAGAGTTGCAGTAATTGGTGACAGTACACTAGAAGCTTTTTTATACATAAGTGGTGGTAAGTTATTTAGTGTCTTAATGATCAGTGAGATTTCAGTAGAGTTAGTTGGGTAGTTGCTAGTGAGGTAGTCTTTTGGCTGAATGTTTGAGTTTGGGATTCTGCTTGCTAGGCTTTTTTCCTACAGTTGAGAAGACATTAAGTTTGTTGGCAGTATCAGTTGGTTGGAGGAGAGGTTCATCTGGTTTCGTTAGGTTGATCATTCTGTTTTGGGATGTCTTTTTAGATGCTAGAATTTCAGATAAGGTTTTCCAGGGCTTTTTCATATCACCTTTTACATTACGTAATCTGTTTTCATAATACAGTTTTTTTTGACCTCCTTATTAGGTTGGTTATTATTGATGAGTAACAATTGGTTTGGCCCCTAGTTATTAGCCCCATTCTGTACTGCTTTTCGTATAGATGTTTTTTATTAATAGATTAGGATTAATCTGCCTGAAATGCTTAAGAATGTTAGTGGCTTCCTTGGTACTTAACAGTATTTTATAATGTGTCAATCACACATTGTACATTATGCAAAAAATTTATTTTGATTTGCATTGTTAAATAATAAAAAAAAACAGACTACAGTACTGTACCTGTTAATTGTTTATTTCAGGTTGTCTTGGTTTGCTGTGTATGCTGCTTATGTAGTAGCACTGGCAGTAATCTGCATTATAGTCCTGCCTCTTGCCAAAGTCTTTCTTAATGCAAACCTCTTCCTTCTGTTCATCCTCTTTATTCTCTATGGTTGCTCCTCCATTGTGTTTGCTCTCATGATGACTCCATTCTTCAATAAAGCAAAGGTAATTTATTCAAATTTTTTAGTAATTAATAAAGAATAGCCGAATAAGAAATATTTATTAAAGTACATATTGCAGACTCTAGAAATCAGCTAAGAAATGAATGCACTGTAAATAGGCAAAGAAGAATCAGTAACATAAATTTATTAGAGATGAGCATGGAATGATTTCATGAAATATTGTTAAAGCAAACATATCTCTTTGGTAGTGTAAAAACTTTTTGCTCTAGAATAAACCTGAACCTGGTAAAAAAAAAAAAAATGGCTAACTAGGAATCACATACCAGCACATATTGTTTCTAATCACTTTCTAGTTGTAGCTACTGTGAGAGTCAAAGGTAGATGGGATACAAGGAAAATAGAAGCAGCAAGTAAGAGAGAGGTGAAGGTGTATAAACTAAAAAAGGAGGCAGTTAGGGTAAGTTATAAACAACTATTGGAGGATAGATGGGCAAGTGAGAGTATAGGCTATGTGGTTGAAGATGTATGGGGTAGGTTTAAGTGTTACAATGTTCAGCACAAGTTAGTGGTTACAGGAAAGTGGGTGTGGTAGGGAAGAAGAGCGATTGGTGGAATGATGAGGTAAAGAGAGTAGTAAGGGAGAAAAAGTTAGCATATAAGAGGTTTTTACAGAGTAGAAGGGATGCAAGGAGGGACGAGTATATGGAGAAAAAAAGAGAGGTTAAGAGAGTGGTAAAGCAATGTAAAAAGAGAGCAAATGAGAGAGTGGGTGAGATGTTATCAACAAATTTTGTTGAAAATAAGAAAAAGTTTTGGAGTGAGATTAATAAGTTGAGGAAGCCTAGGGAACAAATGGATTTGACAGCTAAAAATAGGAGAGGAGAGTTATTAAATGAAGAGTTAGAGGTATCGGGAAGATGGAGGGAATATTTTGAGGAATTGTTAAATGTTGATGATGATAGGGAAGCTGTGATTTTGTGTATAGGGCAAGGGGAATAACATCTTGTAGGAGTGAGGAAGAGCCAGTTGTGAGTGTGGGGGAAGTTTACGAGAGCAGTGGGTAAAATGAAAGGGGGTAAGGCAGCTGGGATTGATGGGATAAAAATAGAAATGTTAAAAGCAGGAGGGGATATAGTTTTGGAGTAGTTGGTGCTATTATTTAATAAATGTATGGAAGAGGGTAAGGTACCTAGGGATTGGCAGAGAGCATGCATAGTTCCTTTGTATAAAGGCAAAGGAGATAAAAGAGAGTGCAAAAATTGTAGGGAAATACGTCTGTTGAGTGTAGGTAGTAGGTTGGTAGACAGCAACCGCCCAGGGAGGTACTACCGTCCTGCCAAGTGAGTGTAAAACGAAAGCCTGTATTTGTTTTACATGATGGTAGGATTGCTGGTGTCTTTTTTCGGTCTCATAAACATGCAAGATTTCAGGTACGTCTTGCTACTTCTTCTTACACTTAGGTCACACTACACATACATGTACGAGCATGTATATACACACCCCTCTGGGTTTTCTTCTATTTTCTTTCTAGTTCTTATTTTTGTTTATTTCCTCTTATCTCCATGGGGAAGTGGAACAGAATTCTTCCTCTGTAAGCCATGCGTGTTGTAAGAGGCAACTAAAATGCCGGGAGCAAGGGGCTAGTAACCCCTTCTGCTGTATATATTACTAAATTTTAAAGAAACTTTTGTTTTTCCTTTTGGGCCACCCCACCTCGGTGGGATACGGCCGGTGTGTTGAAAGAAAGAAGAAAAAGAAAAACTTTCACTTTTCTTTTTGGGCCACCCTGCCTTGGTGGGATATGGCTGGTTTGTTGAAAGAAAGACGAAAGAAGTCTGTTGAGTATACCTGGTAAAGTGTATGGTAGAGTTATTATTGAAAGAATTAAGAGTAAGATGGAGAGTAGGATAGATGAACAAGGAGCCTTTAGGAAAGGTAGCGGGTGTGTAAACCAAGCGTTTACAGTGAAACATATAGGTGAACAGCATTTAGATAAGGGTAAAGAGATTTTAATGGCATTTATGGATTTGGAAAAGGCATGTGACAGGGTGGATAGAGGGGCAATGTGGCAGAAGTTGCAGGTGTATGGTATAGGAGGTAGGTTACTGAAAGCAGTGAAGAGTTTTTATGAGGATAGTGAGGCTCAGGTTAGAGTATGTAGGAGAGAGGGAGATTATTTCCCAGTAAAAGTAGGCCTTAGACAAGGATGTGTGATGTCACCATGGTTGTTCAATATATTTATACATGGGGTTGTAAGAGAAGTGAATACGAGGGTCTTGGCAAGAGGTGTGGGGTTAAAAGATAAAGAATCAAACACAAAGTGGGAGTTGTCACAGTATCAGCACACGAACAGCCTTCTGGAACGAAATAAGTTTGTATCCTGAGGTACCACTGTAATTTGAAATGTCTGTTTTAGCGAATTGCTGTAGAGGTAAGCGCCATCAAGCAGGTCCCTCCTGTATTCTTATTGGGAACCTTTGTTAATATCTAGAGATGAGATATGGTAATAAAAGTATCTAAAATCATTTGATAGACACAGTAAGTGAGGCACAAGATGCTCCTGGAAGCAACTGTAGTTTGTTTGGGGAGAGGGAAAAAGTTGTGCCTTTACAAACTCGTTGTACCCATAGGCCTAACTGTCAAATGTGAATTAAAGGAAAAAAATTCCATGGGATGTAGAACCAGTATATTGCATGTTAGCTGGTTCTTTAACATTTATGGCATTTAATACAGGAGGGCCTCGCTTATACAACAAGTAGGTTCCAGGTTATTGCTATAAAGTGAAAAATCACTACAAAATGAAACATAGCCTTTTTTTTACTTTGAAATGCATGTAAAAGCCTGATAACATGTTTACACTATCAAATATTAAATGAGCAATAGAGCTAGGCCTAAAAAATGCATATACAGTACATACATTACTTACTTTAAAATATTTTCACCCATAGCTTATAGTGAGTGATGAATATATTTAATGTAAGAAGTGGGAATAAATGAAGAATAGGTATAATTGAAAACCACTGCATTAGCAAAATGAAATAAAGCCCATTACCTGTATCAACATTTTTTCCCCCTTATCAAATTTTTTGGTTGCACTTTTTAAATCACTTTGCAAGAATATAACACAGCATGAAGTTGCTTTATAAAAAAGTTTAATGTGCTGTAGTCCATGGGAAACCAAAGCAAACTTCTCTTGGAACTGAGTTAAATATAGAATGAGAAAATTGGCTGTAAATAAAGCAAGGGTATTTTTAAGTAGATAAATCTTATTCTTAAGAATAAGGATAAAAAGTTTAGTTTGACACAATACTTGGTTGTACAGAGAAATAGAATATAATAGTTGGGTATACATGCCAAAAGTCCCTTTGTATGCAGAGCATACAAAGGAGCTTTGGAAAGGCAATAATAGTTCATATGATCATTAGATAAGTTACAGTATTTTAAATATCTTTCTCTATTTCAGGTTGCAGGAGTTGTGGGCAACCTGATACAAGTGGCTCTCAGCATGTTGTTTTACCTCCAGGTGTATTTGGAAGATGATGTTAACCAAGGAGTTTTTTGGCTGCTTGCAATCTTTTCTCCTTGTGCTTTTTCTTTTGCAATAGATAAGGTAAATGTAATATTACTTTAGTAATCAGTATTTTATAACTATAATGCAGGTAAAACACAGATGGTCCAGTATCTCTTTTAGTCCAGACACAATTACCAAAAAGATCTAGATAAAAAACTTGCTTATTAAATAAGCTTGCTTCACCTTTAAACTGTCTAAACGTAGATCTACGTCCACGTGCAGGGGGCTCCGAACATAGATCAACGTTTTTTTATATGCTTTCAAATGGGGAAAAATCAAGGTTGGAACGCTACACACATGAACGTAGATTTACGTTTGGACAGTTTAAGGGTTAAGTAAGACTTGAGGGAAGCTTGTGTACTTATTAACCCTTTTACTGTTTCAGTAGGTGGTAAGTTACTAAATGCTGTAAAGAGTTTTTATGAGGATAGTGAGGCTCAGGTTAGGGTGTGTAGAAGAGAGGGAGACCATTTCCCAGTAAAAGTAGGTCTTAGACAGGGATGTGTAATGTCACCATGGTTGTTTAATGTTTATAGATGGGGTTGTAAAAGAAATAAATGCTAGGGTGTTCGGGAAAGGGGTGGGATTAAATTATGGGGAATTAAATACAAAATGGGAATTGACACAGTTGCTTTTTGCTGATGATACTGTGCTCATGGGAGATTCTAAAGAAAAATTGCAAAGGTTAGTGGGTGATTTGGGAGTGTGTGTAAAGGTAGAAATTGAAAGTGAACTAGAAAAAGTAAGGTGATGAAAGGTATCAAATGATTTTGATAAAAAAAAATTGGATACAAAAGGGGGGAGTAGTTTGGAAGAAATGAATGTTTTAGATACATGGACCCCCGGTAAAAAAAATTTTTCATTCCGAAGATGTTCAGGTGCCAGTACGACCGAATTTTTCCCAGAGGGAAAATTGTGAAGTAAATTTGCAGTAAAGAATAGTTTGTTAGATTATTTTTTTTTTTTTTTTTTTTTTTTTTCCCAAAAAGTCGGCCGTTTCCCCCGAGGGAGGGTGCCCAAAAAAAAAGAAAGAAAATCCCCAAAAAGAAAATACTTTTCATCATCATTCAACACTTTCACCACACTCGCACATTATCACTGTTTTTGCAGAGGTGCTCAGAATACAACAGTTTAGAAGCATACACATATAAAGACACACAACATATCCCTCCAAACTGCCAATATCCCAAACCCCTCCTTTAAAGTGCAGGCATTGTACTTCCCTTTTCCCCAGGACTCAAGTCCGACTATATAAAAAAACCCGGGTTTCCCTGAATCCCTTCATAAATATTACCCTGCTCACACTCCAACAGATCGTCAGGTCCCAAGTACCATTCGTCTCCATTCACTCCTATCTAACACGCTCACGCACGCTTGCTGGAAGTTCCAAGCCCCTTGCCCCACAAAACCTCCTTTTAACCCCCCTCTCTCCAACCCTTTCGAGGACGACCCCTACCCCGCCTTCCTTCCCCTATAGATTTATATACTTTCCATGTCATTCTACTTTGATCCATTCTCTCTAAATGACCAAACCACCTCAACAACCCCTCTTCTGCCCTCTGACTAATACTTTTATTAACTCCACACCTTCTCCTAATTTCCACACTCCGAATTTTCTGCATAATATTTACACCACACATTGCCCTTAAACAGGACATCTCCACTGCCTCCAACCGTCTCCTTGCTGCTGCATTTGGTGGATAAAAGGTTGATGTGTAGGCCTCAGGATGTACATGTTTATAGAGGGGCAACTGATATATCGGATCATTATTTAGTTGTAGCTACAGTTAGAGTAAGAGGTAGATGGGAAAAGAGGAAGGTGGCAAAAACAAGTAAGAGGGAGGTGAAAGTGTATAAACTAAGGGAGGAGGAAGTTCGGGGGAGATATAAACGACTGTTGGCAGAAAGGTGGGCTAGTGCAAAGATGAGTAGTGGGGGGGTTGAAGAGGGTTGGAATAGTTTTAAAAATGCAGTATTAGAATGTGGGGCAGAAGTTTGTGGTTATAGGAGGGTGGGGGCAGGTGGAAAGAGGAGTGATTGGTGGAATGATGAAGTAAAGGGTGTGATAAAAGAGAAAAAGTTAGCTTATGAGAGGTTTTTACAAAGCAGAAGTGTTATAAGAAAAGCAGAGTACAGTGGACCCCCGCATACCGATTTTAATCCGTGCAAGAGGGGTCATTGTTATGCGAAATAATCGGTATGCGAATGAATTTTCCCCATAAGAAATAATGGAAATCAAATTAATCCGTGCAAGACACCCAAAAGTATGAAAAAAAAATTTTACCACATGAAATATACATTTTCCCACACACAAAGAGAAGGATACATGCACAATAGTAGAGTAGTACATGCACAGTATATATTGTGCATGTACTAGTCTACTAAATGAAGAATAAATGACACTTACCTTTATTGAAGATGCAGCAATGACTGATGAGACACTGTGTCCTGGGAGTGCCTTTTCCTCCTGAGTACTGTAGGTCCTGTTTGGCATTTTCTTCCAGAACAGGCCTTATCACACTGTGTATGCCACTACGATTCTTAAATCTCTCAAACCAACCTTTGCTGGCTTTAAATTCACCAATATGAGCACTAGTTCCAGGCATTTTTTCCCTGTTCACCTGGGTGGTAGTCGACTTGTGTGGGTTGCATCCTGGGAGACAAGATTAGGACCCCAATGGAAATAAGTTAAGACAGTCTTCGATGACACTGACTTTTTTGGGTTATCCTGGGTGGCAAATCCTCTGGGGTTAATTGTTTCTTGGTATTCTCAATAAGCCACACCAACAACGGTGCTACAGCAGCAGCAGCAGCTGACGGTGGTACAGCAGCAACAGACGATGCTACAGCAGCAGCAGACGATGCTACAGCAGCAGCAGACGATGCTACAGCAGCAGCAGCAGCTGACGGTGGTACAGCAGCAACAGACGATGCTACAGCAGCAGCAGATGATGCTACAGCAGCAGCAGACGATGCTACAGCAGCAGCAGCAGCTGACGGTGGTACAGCAGCAACAGACGATGCTACAGCAGCAGCAGACAATGCTACAGCAGCAACAGACGATGTTACAGCAGCAGCAGACGATGCTACAGCAGCAGCAGCAGCTGACGGTGGTACAGCAGCAACAGACGACGCTACAGCAGCAACAGACAATGTTACAGCAGCAGCAGACGATGCTACAGCAGCAGCAGCAGCTGACAGTGCAGCAGCAGCAGCAGCTGTACCACCAATAGTAGCGATGGTTGATTGGGGTTTATTATACAACCTGGCCAGCTCGGAGACACGCACTCCACTTTCATACTTATCAATGATCTTTTTCTTCATCTCTATTGTAATTCTCACCCTTATTGTTGTAGGGTTGGCACTAGAAGCTTTCTTGGGGCCCATGGTCACTTATTTTCCAGAAAAAGCACCGAAAACACTGTAATAATACGAAATATTCCGATTGTATGCTTGGATGTTACCGCGGAGGCTGGCTGGTAAACAATGCCACCGGCGGAACATGTGAGCGTGGCTCAGGCCGCACATTGGACGCGTCTCGGACGAAAATCGGTGAGCGGGTTTTTAAGCGGTATGTGAGGCAAAATTTTTGCGATTAAAGCAAGCGGTATGCGGATTAATCGCTATGTGATGCCATCGGTATGCGGGGGTCCACTGTATATGGAAAGTAAAAGAAAGGTGAAGAGAGTGGTGAGAGAGTGCAAAAGGAGAGCAGATGATAGAGTGGGAGATGCACTGTCAAGAAATTTTAATGAAAACAAGAAAAAATTTTGGAGTGAGTTAAACAAGTTAAGAAAGCCTAGGGAAAGTATGGATTTGTCAGTTAAAAACAGAGTAGGGGAGTTAGTAGATGGGGAGAGGGAGGTATTAGGTAGATGGCGAGAATATTTTGAGGAACTTTTAAATGTTGAGGAAGAAAGGGAGGCGGTAATTTCATGCACTGGTCAGGGAGGTATACCATCTTTTAGGAGTGAAGAAGAGCAGAATGTAAGTGTGGGGGAGGTACGCGAGGCATTACGTAGAATGAAAGGGGGTAAAGCAGCTGGAACTAATGGGATCATGACAGAAATGTTAAAAGCAGGGGGGTACATAGTGTTGGAGTGGTTGGTACTTTTGTTTAATAAATGTATGAAAGAGGGGAAGGTACCTAGGGATTGGCAGAGAGCATGTATAGTATAGGTGAAAGTGTTGAATGATGATGAAAGTATTTTCTTTTTGGGGATTTTCTTTCTTTTTTTTGGGTCACCCTGCCTTGGTGGGAGGCGGCCGACTTGTTAAAAAAAAAAATATATATATATATATATACATCTTACGAGCCACTGTGTTTGACATATATTTACTCATAAATTCTAGCGGCTTCAAATCAAGCAGGAGAAAGCTGGTAGGCCCACATGTGAGAGAATGGGTCTGTGTGGTCAGTGTGCACCATATAAAAAAAATGCTGCAGCACACAGTGCATAATGAGAAAAAACAATGTTTTTTTGTTTTTTTGTTTTTTATTAAAACGCCGAATTTGTGGTAAGAGAGATTTCGTTCGGATTTTTAACCCTGGAGGGTTAGCCACCCAGGATAACCCAAGAAAGTCAGTGCGTCATCGAGGACTGTCTAACTTATTTCCATTGGGGTCCTTAATCTTGTCCCCCAGGATGCGACCCACACCAGTCGACTAACACCCAGGTACCTATTTGCTGCTAGGTGAACAGGACAATAGATGTAAGGAAACGTGTCGAAATGTTTCCACCCGCCGGGAATCGAACCCGGGACCTCCGTGTGGTCTCATTTGATAGAAAGGAAAACATATTATAGAAATGGAGGTGATTTTGATTGGTTTTACTATGAAAAGAACCTTAAAATGGAGCTCAAAATAGGGGAAATGTTTGATTTTTGCCGATGTTCAAAAGTAAATAAATGATGTCATTGTTCAATAAATGTCCAACTAGCCATTCTAATATGCAGTCATGAATGGGTTGACATTATTTATACAATTATTACAATATTGCAGTAGTCTGCATAACAGTAAATTTTCTATTTTTTGTTTGAATAAAAATTCAAAATAGAAAGCAAGAGTAATATCAGAGGGGCCTGGTGACATGACTGATGAACAAAGAAAATGTTATTTTAGAGCCAGGAATGTCTGTATTGTTCATTCTGGACCCTTTTTTGAAATTGACATATTTTCTAATTTTCGTGAAATTTTTCAAATAGCAAATTTCTGACCACATTATTGGGTAGTTGAAATTTATAAATGGGCAGTTATTATTATTATTAAAGATTAGCCGGTATTCTCCCGGCCCGGGCCTTTTCCAAGTGGTGGCCCAGCCTTGGCTCCCTCTTTAGGGAGTGTCTGAGACCTAAGTCTCCCATGGGAGGAGGCACAAGTACCTCCTCATCTTTGGGACCAACTGTCCCCAGGCCTAGCCACAAGCTAGGCCTCTCTGGTCTGCCATCCCCGCCCCAAGGGGGCTAATGGGAATGACAGTCTTATGAGCTAAAGGCTCGGGCTCAGGCACCTACCCTTCCCTAGAAGGGTTAGGCATGGTATCGATGGACCATAAATAGCTATGAGTTTGGTCGACTGGAATGATGGAATTAGCCAAAAATAGGGCTCAAAGTGGGTGAAATTGCTGATTCGTAAATATTGCCAAGGTCGCTAACTTCGCGAGAGCGTAATTCCGTAAGTTTTCTATCAAATTTCATTCTTTTGGTGTCATTACCATCGGGGAAAGATTCTCTATCATTTCATAAGTTTTTTTTTTTTTTTTTTTTTTTCGACACCAGGAGACACTTCAGGATTTGGGGTTTCGACAGTCAAGGGGTTAAATAAATTTGTTTAAGTAGGACTTGAGAGAAGCATGTTTGTGATGCAGTTACTGTTTATTGCTTCTATAGAAAATGGGCAGGATGCTCTTCCAGAGACAATGAGCATAGCTAATACAGGAAGGGCCCCACTTATATAGCAAATTAGGTTCCAGGCTACCGCTGTAAAGTGGCAAACATGTTCACCTGTCTGAGTATTTCAGGACCTAATATTAGTGTCAGAACAAAGATTAGCTATAAAAATCACAAGAGCTACTATAATTTGTAATTATCAGAACATAAAAACTGTGTAAATTTAAAAAATGACAAAGTTATACTGATAACATTTCTACAAGTGGCTGGACTCCATGTTGCCTTCACGTGAACATCCAATGCCAACTTCACCACCTTATATCTCGATAAGTACTGACCCTAATTTTTTTTATATGATCTTATTACACCATAAACATAAATATTTTTATAATGCATGAAAAAACCATCACAAATCAGCATGCAGTCCTAGCCATAGACACAGCCACTTTCACACATTGAGACTGAGTAGAAAGAGAATACGGCCAATCACAACAAGAAACAGCTACACACACTGAGGGAGAGATGGTTGATTGGATTTAGGAGATCTAGAATAATTGCCTGTATACTAGTCAGTGAGAGCAATTCACAGTGTGTTATTTTTGTAACTGTTTGTATTAGCGCTGTTTCATGTAAATTTAGCGCATTTTTAGTGCCATCTGAATATTTCATTTGGTAACCCTGCTAATCAGCTGCATCAGTAGTAAACAACTGCAGAATGAACCTTCAATACTTGTGTTTTTACATGTAATGCCTCAGGCTTAACATGTTATTACCGTGGATACCATTTCTCTTTTTTTTTTTTTTTTTCCAAAATTTTACCAGTCAGAATTGGGAGGGAGTCCTCAACACTAGAGCATCTTGTTTGCCATAAAATATGGTATTCCATCCACAGTAGTGTGGCTTCTTTTTCCTTCATAGATACAGTAGCTATTTCTAAGTCTAATAAGTATTTGTTCAAAGGCATCTCTCTCACCTATAGGTGATCCTGTATGACTACCAATACCCTGGTGGCTTGGACTTTGGGAACATCTGGGAGGGACCAGGACTTCCATTTGCTGGAAGTCTTATTATGATATCTGTTGACATTCTCCTATATCTCTCTCTGGCATATTATTTAGATAATGTCATTCCAAGTAAGTCAGCAGTTATTATTAATTAAATTAAATTAAATTATTTTTTTATTTCTTTGCATAGTATACAATGTGTGATTTACATGTTATAAAATATTGTTTAGTACAAAGAAAGCCACTAACATGCTTGAACATTTCGGGCAGACTTGTGCTAATGTTTACATGCTGCTTAAAACTAGACACGGCGTATTAACAAAATGTGAACACATTCAGTGTTTTAATGATTGTGAGGATTACAGATATTAAGAATAAGATTGTATTGTTTTCCATACGTTAGTGACAATGAGAATATGGATATACGTATATTTTTCACATATTTAGCTGATGCCAGTATTATGTGCCAAATAACACTTACATTTGTATGACGTCAGTACAGGTTGGCCATCACTAATCTGGCAATCTGTAATCCGGCATTAATTTCAGCTAGCATAACTTCAAATTTCTGGGGTCGCCACACCAACCTGCCGCTACTGTTTGGTGGCTCTACTTGCTGCATAAATCATTCCAGTTTCTTTTTCTCCATTTATTGTTATATCCTGCTCACTTTTAGCCCTAGCCATGGTTCCATTGAATAAAAGAAATAATTCTCATTATGTAAACCACATACACCTTACATTGTCCATAAAAGAAAAGGTGGGTTTGAAGCCACTGTCAGTCACCTTGATCTCGGCTCACTCAGATAAGCCATGACTGGTCAATTTGGGCCTACATAAGAGAGAATAGGTCTGTATAGAAAGTGTGCACTATGTAAAAAAATCCTGCAGCATGCAGTGCATAATGGGAAAAAAACTGCGACCGTGTTTATGGTGTAAACCTGACTTTGTGGTGTATTTTTATATGATTTGTATGGTTGTATTCTCATTTTTTTTGGTCTTATTTGATAGAATGGAAGATATTTTACAGAAATAAATATAATTTTGATTGGTCTCATGCCGGAAAGTGCCTTAAAATTGAGCTCAGAGTAACGGAAATGTTCAATTTTTGCCAATGTTCAAGAGTAAACAAATGATATTACCATCCAATAAATATCCAACTGGCTGGTTTAATACACAATCATTAGGCATTAGAAAAAGTGACAAAAAAAGGAAGTGCCACTGTTATAGTAGACTGACCAGTACAGTTACACTGTATCTCCAGGTTTCAGCTAATATTTTAAGATGACATGCATCTCCCTTGCTTTAACCCTTTCAGGGTCCGTCCCGTAGATCTATGGCTTTACGTTCAGGGTCCAAACCATAGATCTAGGCCATGAGCTCAGCTCACTCTGATAAGCTGTGAGTGGTAAATTTGGACCTAGATATGAGAGAATACATCTATGTGGTATGTGTGCACCACATAAAACAAATCCTGCAGCACAAAGTGTATAATGAGAGAAAAAACTGAGTGTGTGATTTTCGATTAAAACAGCAACTTTGCAGTGTTTTTCGTATGTTTTTTATAGTAGTATTTATGATTTCTTGGTCTCATTTAATAGAATGGAAGACATATTACAGAAATGGAGATGATTTTCATTTGTTTTATTACTGGAAATGGCTTGAAACTGAGCTCAAAGTAGCAGAAATGATAAGTTTTTGTCGATGTTCAAGAGTAAACAAACGATCTCACACGTCTAATACACGCCAGCTGGTGGGTCTAATATACATTCACAAATGTGATGATGATATTTATACAATTATTACAATATTGCATAAAGGTAAATCTTCTATTTTTTTGTTTGAATAAAAATTCATTATGTGAATAAAAAGTCAAAATGGAATTCATTTTTAAAGCCTGAAAACATAACTAATGAGCAGAGGAAATGTTAGTTTAGTGCCAGGAATGCCTGCATTGTTTATTCTGGACCCTATTTTGAAATTGGAATATTTTGAACTTTGTGTTAAATTGGCCAAATTACCAATTTCCGATCACTTTATTTTGTAGTTGAAACAATTGACTTGGCGATTTCTTGTGCTCAATCAATAGAATAGAAGTAATACTAGTGATATAGCTAAGAATTTGGTCAACTGGAATAAAGTAATTGGCCGAAAATGGGAGTCAAAGTCGGCAAAATCGCCGATTCATAAATATCGCTGACACATCAAAATTCGCGAGAGCATAATTTCATAAATTTTCCATGAAATTTCGTACTTTTTGTTTTATTACCTTCAGAAAAAGATTCTCTACCATTTCATAAGAAAAAATAACGATTTTTTTTTTTTTTTTTTTTTAAATTCTTGGACACTGGTGCACCCTTTGAAATTTGGCCTCTGGACCCTGAAAGGGTTAAAGGGCTTTGGAAATGCTGGATAAAATCCTCTTGGTTAATTGATTCAGAAAGAATAGACTAAGTTCAGTGGTTATAGAATACTAGTTACAACCATGGCTAAATAGTCTTATCACTATCCACCTGAAGCACCATTAGTGGCCACCTGCAGTTTCCTTTTAATCCATCAAATTGAAAGTTCACTGTTTTTTTCCTACATGCTTCTGTGATAGTTCAAACATACCAACATAAACAGATTAAGCATACTTAAGATGTATTGCCTCTGACAGTAAAAATAAAAAATAAGTATTTTTTTCCTTCAGGTGAATATGGAACAAAGAGGAAACCTTGGTTTTTATTTCAAAAATCATTCTGGGTAGAAAGCAACAAAGATTTTCAGGTAGGAAGATCTGCTGTTTTATTATAATGACTAAATTTTAACCCGTAAACGGTCCAAACGTATACATACGTTTTTTCAACATTTGAAAGTATGTAAAAAAAGTAGATCTTTTTGTTTTTTTACATTTGAAAATGTGTAAAAAAAACTTTGATCTACTTTTTTTTTATATTTGAAAATACGTAAAAAAGCGTAAATCTACTTTTGTAGCACTACACATGTGAACGTAGATCTGCTTGGACCGTTTACGGGTTAAATAGATGTTTGCAGTAAATATCTACTGCATTTACCAACCTGAAAGGCAAGTAAACAGTAGCTGTCCAAGGAGGTACTACCATCCACTAATTTTTTTTTAGCTCACTGGCCATCTCCCACTGAGGTAGGGTGACCTGAAAAAGAATACTTTAACCATCATTTACTCTATCACTGTCTTGCCAGATGTGCGACAAATACGACATAATTTGGGACTTTTGCATTTTTATTTATTGGATTTAAAATCTATCAGAGAAACCAGTTAGCCAAACGTGAGTCATGAATAAATAACAAAAAAAGGCACAATACCGTGACTGGAATGATATACAAATAACCCGCACATAAAAGAGAGAAGCTTACGACAACGTTTCGGTCCGACTTGGACCGAAATGGCCCAAGTCGGACCGAAACGTCGTTGTAAGCTTCTCTCTTTTATGTGCGGGTTATTTGTGTATGCGAGTCATGAAGGTGGGAAGGCACTACCTGCACTCTGCAAGAGGGATGGGAATGTGACAGCCAAAGTAATCTGGTTGTGATGTCAGCACACTTCTGGAAAGACAGTAATGGATTAAATGATGGTCAATGTGTTGTCTTCTTTGGATCACCCTTCCACGGCAGGTGACAGCTGTTGAGGTAAAAAAAAAAAAAAGATTATCAGCTATAAGATAATCATTAAGGTGGCAAATAACTAAGATAACATGAAGGACTCTGATATCCTAAATATGTACATGGAAATAAACCTTTTGATGTAAACTTTTAATCTTGGCCAAGCAACTTTTTTTTTTATATTCAGTTTCATAATGATTACCAAGGAACATTTCTTAAGTGTTAAATATAGTTAATAAGGTTTTGTATGCATTTTCTTTTTTATTCATAATTATTTTGTTGTTTTTTCCAGGTTTCAAACTACTAAAATAATGACATATGACTGGTGATCCAATATACTTTACTAGTTTAATGCTGGTGATGTGTGTCTGAGTGTAATGCTGGTGATGTGTGTCTGAGTGTAATGCTGGTGATGTGTGTCTGAGTGTAATGCTGGTGATGTGTGTCTGAGTGTAATGCTGGTGATGTGTGTCTGAGTGTAATGCTGGTGATGTATCTATGAGTGTAATGCTGGTGATGTGTCTATGAGTGTAATGCTGGTGATGTGTCTATGAGTGTAATGCTGGTGATGTGTGTCTAGAGTGTATATGCTGGTGATGTGTCTGTGTAATGCTGTGATGTGTCTGAGTGTAATGCTGGTGATGTGTCTATGAGTGTAATGGTGGTGATGTGTGTCTGAGTGTAATGCTGGTGATGTATCTATGAGTGTAATGGTGGTGATGTGTGTCTGAGTGTAATGCTGGTGATGTGTCTATGAGTGTAATGGTGGTGATGTGTGTCTGAGTGTAATGCTGGTGATGTGTCTATGAGTGTAATGCTGGTGATGTGTGCCTGAGTGTAATGCTGGTGATGTGTGCCTGAGTGTAATGGTGGTGATGTGTGTCTGAGTGTAATGCTGGTGATGTGTCTATGAGTGTAATGGTGGTGATGTGTGTCTGAGTGT